CACCATTAATGCAGAGAACTATGTTCAGGTTCTAGAAAAAGATATGCTCCCATCTAGACGTCATCTCTTTCAGGGAAGACCATGCATTTTTCAACACGATAATGCCAGACCACATTCTGCAGCAATCACAACATCATGGCTACGTAGGAGAAGGATCTGGGTACTGAAATGGCCAGCCTGCAGTCCAGATCTTTCACCTATAGAGAACATTTGGCACATCATAAAGAGGAAGGTGCGACAAAGAAGGCCCAAGACGATTGAACAGTTAGAGGCCTATATTAGACATGAATGGGAGAGCATTCCTATTTCTAAACTTGAGAAATTGGTCTCCTCTGTCCTCAGACATCTGTTGAGTGTTGGAAGAAGAAGGGGGGATGCCACACAGTGGGAAAAATGGACTTGTCCCAACTTTTTTGGGATTTGTTGACGCCATGAAATTTGGAAACAACAGATTTTTCCCTTAAAATGATACATTCTCTCAGTTTAAACTTTTGATCTGTGATTTGTGTTCTATTCTGAATAAAATATTAGATGTTGGCACCTCCACATCATTGCATTCAGTTTTTATTCACAATTTGTTTAGTGTCCCAACTTTTTTGGAATCCGGTTTGTACATAACTGCAGATGTAGCAATGTTTTTCTGTTTCTACAAATAACACCAGTCTTTAATTTTTTTTAACAGTTACAATTTTATTGACATATAACATTTACAGTATTCAAATAAAGTTGCTTTGATATTTTGATTGGAATTGATTAATTTATATATATATATATATATATATATATATATATATATATATATATATATATATATATATACAGCAGTCTAAGTCTATAGCAGCATAATTACGGGACAGCTCAGGAAACCCAAGCTGACCCTAACTATAGGATTTAGCAAAAAGGAAAGTCTTAATCCCAGTCTTCAAACTGGACAATGTGTCAGCCTCATGGACAGAAACTGGAAGTTGGTTCCACAAGAGAGGAGCCTGAGAACTGAAAGATCTGCCTCCCATTCTGCTAAATAATATTGCAAAAAATAACAAAAAACGGCTAGATTAGAAGGCGAATTTAGAAAACTAAAAACAGGAACATGTCTGCATTGTTCCTTGCCAGGAATCCAACAGATTCTTAAAGCCACTTAGAGAACACATAGACTTGAAAGATCCAGGAAGAAAGTAGATGTAGGATCAACTCACTTCATCATCTTTATTAATTCTTCTCAGAGATGGTTCTGCAGCAGTAGCAGCAGCATCAGTAGAATCAATAGGTTAAAAACCTTAAAAAATATGCAGATTAATAGTTTAGTTTTAAATGTTTTTTTAATTACTTAAACCATATAAATTCACAAATGTTTTAAATTGTGTAAATATATATTCTGACAAACTATGAAGTAACCATTTTAAAGCATTTAAGCATTTATGATATTTATTAATTAAAAAAATATATTTCTTGTAAATTTTCCAATAAATGTTACTGTAATCTTTATTTTTATTTCTTATTTTAATTGTATCTTACCTAATTACATCAAATAATTACAAACAATTTTAGCCAACAAAATATGCCTTTTCCTTAAAACTAATCACTATGAGTTGTATGGAAGTAATTTAAGTGTCAGAGAAATAAAACTAATATTTGTCTTGCATGATTCATTTCTAAGATTACAAAATAATATGTTTTAATCAAATTCATAATATAGGAAGACTAAATGTATAATCTAAATTAAAGAGTCTCAAAATAGCATTAGGTCAACTCAAATCCCAACAAACTTACGATGGAACTAAACAAACACAGAGGGTCCATGTGCTAAAACAAGCTCTGATTGCTCTAAAATCATCTCAAACTACTGTGTTGTTTACAACAAGTTTGCTTCTAGGCTCAAAAACTGTTTGACAGGTTTACTGAGGCTGCTACTCACCGGTGCATGTCTACTCTCCTCCATGCACTGATTGTCACAAAGGACCACACACTAGTGTTGGTAGTATGAAACAAAAGCTTCAAAACATGCTTCGAACCCTGCAGTAAAATTACCTGGGAGCACTGCTTCGGAGCCTGTTTTGGTGCGGAAAAGTCACATGACGACCAAAACACAAACTTTCGTTGTCGGAATGAATCTCTTGACTGGTTCACGGTCCAAACAGCTGATTCCCTGACACCACCTCATCTCGATTCTGACAGGTGACAGGTTGAGACAGTTTTGAATTGAGAGCTCAGCTCTATAAAACAGCTCTAAAATGTTTTCATTGTGTTGGAGAGGGGACTGTGTTTTTGCTGTTAGTTGAAACTGAGTAATTATAGAGGCAGCCAGGAAAAGAGGTCGTTTTAACATGTGGGAACACTTCATTCTGCTCATGATGAGGTGGTTTTGGCATTTAAATGTCAAAAAAGTTATAGTAATGTTCATCAGTGAAGATATTATCTAACCCATTCAACCCATGTATTTAATATAATTACAGTAAAATGATGTATGTGATTTTAATAATCATATATCAGTATGGGCTCAAATTAAATTTTTATTTACATTAGTGTATTTCTGCAGGTGCAGCGTTTGGTGTGTTCAACTGAAGCATCATGACACCTCCTCTATGATCAGACACTTCAGCTCCAAACATGGAGATGCTGGAGATGTTATTTCATTGATATTTTTAAGAATGATAAAGACTCTGACACTGACACAGTTACACAAGCACAATATCATTGAAACTTTTTTTTATCTCTTCAATGCACATTTATTAATCTTTATTCAAAAACATGTAAACATAAATACATTTTTAAACCAGGCAACATAGAAAGTTGATGAATTTAAAAAAATCTGTTTTTTAACACAGTAAAGTAGTTTCTTTAACTCTAGTCACTGAAGTTCTTCAGTGTGTGACACCAAAAGTATAATTTGACAGCAGCGTTGCAAAATGCCACAAGAGGTCACTGTAACTGAAGCTTCAACAAATGAACCTATTTTTGAAACAATTGGCCCAACTGGTTCAATGCTTCATAAAAGCTTAATTTGCTCATCACTGCCACACACCTGCATTAAGAACCTAATCAGAATCACAGAAGCTACAGCATAGTTTAGGCTAGAGCTCCTCCTCTGTCTGAACTATGTCATCTAAGAAACCAATGTTTGAAAGAAAACGAGTTAAAATGTGGTGCAGTTAAAAAAAATCAACTGTCATTTGACACAACAGTTGGTATCTCACAGAACTCTCACTCTCTTGTCTATACTTCACATTTATACATTCACGTAGACTTGTGATTGCCACCTAGTGGACACAAGCATAATACATCCAATCATCACAGGCGGTATTGTCCTGAGAGGGGTAGGTGTCTGCTGAGCAGCATAGGAACACATTTTGCAAATAAACACTGCTGCTTGGTTAACACCAGAAATACTAGATCTTCAACCTCCAACTCTTATCCACCTTAGTCTAGTCCCCATGGTGCCTTGCGTGAATTATTGGCACAACTTCCGGTGCGGACCAGATCCAGCATTTGTTTATGTGCGAACTATATGAATTAATGTAGTTTCTCTGAGCATTGTGGATTTAATTTAAACATGTAGGAACACCACCTGTCAGAGCTCAGGACAATATAATCATACTGCTGCCTGCTGAGAATGAGAGATGGAGGATGAGCTGAATCCGTAGCTGCAGATTACATCTACTGTACTAGCATATTTAGCTACTAGCATTTTTAGCTACATATTGTAGCATATTTAGCTACTTCCTTGACTCTGTTCTTCCAACAGTGATGTGATGAACAACCTGAGAAGTTCTGAAGTGTATTAGTATCTCCACAGTAATAAGGTTGGTGGTGTTTTGTTAAAAGAGGTGGGACACAATCTTATTGACCTTAAATCAGACAGAATCCAGCCAAAGCCTTAAAGTCCTCCATCACTGAGCTTGGGTTAATGACAGAGAAAATCATAAACTGAAGATGAACAAATATTATAAATCTTGTGACCTCCATACACCTGAAATCATACCTGATGTTCTCGTCACTGTTTTCAATCCTTCTGAGGATCCGGCGTCTCTTCTCCGGTGGTTTATTGTAGTCCAGATACAAAGTAGGATGCAGGTTTTCCTCCGTCGGCCGTTTGTCAACAAAGTGAAATGAGCTCACATACAGAGTTTTGGGTGGTCTCTTCAAGTTCACATTTTTCAGACATGTTCTTCTTAATTCCTCATCTGAAGGGAGGAGATGGAAACTATACCTATTTTCACAGGAACTCTTTTTGTTCTTGGTCCGTGTTCAAACTCTGTTTTTGTAGCCACTGATTTAGTTTGGTCTGGTTGTTCTGCAGCCACGAACACAACAGGTACCTGAACGCAGCACGGCTATTGTAGTAAATTTTATGGTTGTTAAATAAAACAAAAACAGAGTTTTATCTGCTAAACTGAATGCAAATTACTTTCAAATAAACCATGGTCTGTGCTCCGCTAACATGGTTAACCGATGCTTACTGCTACTTCAAGTCGGACAGGAAGTAGTACCTATAATCACACAGTACAGTACAGTAGAGCCCCCAGGAATAAGGTGAATATCATCATCTGAAAAATAACATCTACTTTGCTAACCATGCTACTGCTGTTGCTGTTTGTGTACCACATGTGCTACAGAGGGAGACATTTCTCACTACAGTTTTTCTTGAGTTTAAAATGTCTATGCAACAAATGAATGTCTCACAGCCACTAGAGTAAGAATAGATGTTTTAAGTCTTGTTAATTATGTACCAAGCTTAAAATTTAATGTACTGACTTATTTTAAAAAAGTGATGGCTGTTCATGGAAATTTTTTGTTTCAAAAACAAGATTTTAAAGCTTCAAAATGTCACACTGTTCTTGTGTAATGTAATGAAATTCAAGTTGCATCTTCTATACTAGGATTTTATCAGTGTGTAATGTTAACATCAGAGCTGTATGATGATGTCTGGTGTTCAAGTGTTTTTTTTTTTGACTGTTCATTTGCTGTAGTTGTAACTTCCTTCTCCCACTCTGCTTCATCAGTTCTGAGTCCTCAGGTTACTCCTTCATCTACAGAGAGCTGTTTTGCCCGTCAGCACAATGTATCAGACAACAACAATCAGTGTTTTTCTCAAGGCAATGGTCACCTGCCCTCCCAGTTGGCGGTACAAAGGCCTGGAGCCATTGACAACCAGTCGTTGGTCACTACTGATCCTATCAAGGCAAGGACTGCACTGTTTGTGTTTAGAGGTGTTGTATGTGTCTACTGTTGCTGCTTATATGCTTGGCATTTGTTTACATCTACTGAGTCAAATATATTGTTTGTGTTATGTATACAGGTGCTGGTCATAAAATTAGAATATCATGAAAAAGTTGATTTACTTCAATAATTCCATTCAAAACATGAAACTTGTATATTATATTCATTCATTACACACAGACTGATATATTTCAATTGTTTATTTATTTTAATGTTGATGATTATAACTGACGACTAATGAAAACCTCAAATTCAGTATCTCAGAAAATTAGAATATTGTGAAAAGGTTCAATATTGAAGACACCTGGTGTCACACTCTAAGCAGCTAATTAACTCAAACACCTGCAAAGGCCATTAAATGGTCTCTCAGTCTAGTTCTGTAGGCTACACAATCATGGGAAAGACTGCTGACTTGACAGTTAAATGGACTGTATTTATACAGCTCCTTTCTATCTGATCGAGACACTCAAAGCTCTTTACAACAATCTGTGCCTCATTTACCCATTCATACAGCACTCTACTAGATCTATACAAAGATAATTGAACAAATCATTCTCCATCCATCCATCCATCCATCCATCCATCCATCCATCCATCCATTTTCTTCCGCTTATCCGGGGTCGGGTCGTGGGGGTAGCAGCCTAAGTAGGGAGGCTCAGACTTCCCTCTCCCCAGCCACTTGGTCCAGCTCCTCCGGGGAAATCCCGAGGCGTTCCCAGGCCAGCCGAGAAACATAGTCCCTCCAGCATGTCCTGGGTCTTCCTCTGGGTCTCCTCCTGGTGGGATGTGTCCAGAACACCTCACCAGGGAGGCGTCCAGGAGGCATCCTAAACAGATGCCCGAGCCACCTCAACTGGCTCCTCTCGACGTGGAGAAGCAGCGGCTCTACTCTGAGTCCTCCCGGATGATCGAGCTTCTCACCCTAACTCTAAGGGAGAGCCCAGACACCCTGCGGAGAAAATTCATTTTGGCCGCTTGTATCCGAGATCTCGTTCTTTCGGGCACAACCCAAAGCTCATGACCATAGATGAGGGTGGGAACGTAGATCGATCAGTAAATTGAGAGCTTCGCCTTTTGACTCAGCCCTCTCTTCACCACGAAAGACCTGTACAGCGCCCGCTTCACTGCAGACGCTGCACCTATTCGCCTATCGATCTCATGCTCCATTTTTCCCTTATTCGTGAACAAGACCCCAAGATACTTGAACCTCAACTTGGGGCTGCACCTCCTCCCTGACCCGGAGAGGGCACTCTACCCTTTTCTGGCTCAAGACCATGGCCTCGAATTTGGAGGAACTGATCCTCATCCCGTCAGCGTCGCACTCGGCTGCGAACCGCTCCAGCGAAAGCTGTAGATCGCGATCTGATGAAACCAATAGGACTACATCATCTGCAAAAAGCAGAGAATCAATCCTAAGGCCACCAAAAAGGATCCCTTCAACACCTTGGCTGCGCCTAAAAATTCTGTCCATAAAAGTTATGAACAGAATCGGTGACAAAGGGCAACCTTGGCTGAGTCCATCTCTCACCGGGAACAAGCCCGACTTACTGCCAGCAATGCAGACCAGGCTCTGACACTGGTCGTACAGGGACCTAACAGCCCGTATCAAAGGGCCCGGAACCCCATACTCCCAGAGTACCCCCCACAGGGTTCCCTGAGGGACACGGTTGAACGCCTTCTCCAAGTCCACAAAGCACATGTAGACCAGTTGGGCAAACTCCCACACACCCTCCAGGACCCTGCTGAAAGTGTAGAGCTGGTCCAGTGTTCCATGACCAGGATGAAAACCACACTGCTCCTCCTGAATCTGAGGATCGACTATCCGACGGACCCTCCTCTCCCGAACCCCCGAATAGACCTTACCAGGGAGGCTTAAGAGCGTGATTCCCCTGTAGTTGGAACACACTCTACGGTCCACTTTTTTGAATAGGGGGACCACCACCCCGGTCTGCCAATCCAGGGGAACTTCCCCCGATGTCCACGTAATATTGCAAAGTCGCTTAAGCCAACACAACCATACAACATCCAGAGCCTTAAGGAACTCCGGGAGAATCTCATCCACCCCTGGGGCCCTGCCACCGAGGAGCTTTTTAACCACCTCAGTGACCTCAGCACCAAAGATTGGAGGGCCTGACCCAGGGTCCCCAGGCTCTGCTTCCTCAGTGGAAGACATGCCTGTGGGATTGAGGAGTTCGTCAAAGTACTCTTCCCACCGACCCACAACATCCCGAGTTGAGGTCAGCAACTCCCACTATAAACAATGTTGGTGGCGTACCCCCCCCCCCCCCCCCCCCGAGATGCCGGATGGTGGACCAGAATCGCCTCGAAGCCGTACAGAAGTCATTCTCCATGGCCTCTCCAAACTCCTTCCATGCCCAAGTTTTTGCCTCCGCGACCACCTGAACCGCATGTCGCTTGGACTGCCGGTACCCATCAGCTGCTTCCGGGGTCGCACAGGCCAAAAAGGCCCGATAGGACTCCTATTTCAGTCCGACAGCATTCCTCACCGACTGTATCCACTACCAGGTTCGATGGTTGCCGCCACAATGGGCACTGACAACCTTGCGGCTGCAGCTTCGGTAAGCCGCCTCAACAATAGAGGCACAGAACATGGCCCACTCGGACTAAATGTACCCTACATCTCCCGGAACATGTTCGAAGTTCTCCCGGAGGTGGGAGTTAAAACTCCGTCTCACAGGAGACTCTGCCAGACGTTCCCAGCAAACCCTCACAACATGTTTGGGTCTGCCAGGTCTGACCGGCATTCTCCCCCACCATTGGAGCCAACTCACCACCAGGTAGTGATCAGTTGACAGCTCCGCCCCTCTCTTCACCCAACTGTCCAAGACATGTGACCGCAAATCAGATGAGACGATGACAAAGTCGATCATCGAACTGCGGCCTAGGGTGTCCTGGTGCCAAGGGCACATATGGACACCCTTGTGCTTGAACAAGGTGTTCGTTATTGACAATCCATGACGAGCACAGAAGTCCAACAACAGAACACTACACGGGCTCAGATAAGGGGGGCCGTTCCTCCCAACCACACCCCTCCAGTTCTCACTGTCATTGCCCACGTGAGCATTGAAGTCCCCCAGCAGAACAAGGGAGTCCCCAGGAGGTGCACTTTCCAGTATCCCCTCCAAGGACTCCAAAAAGAGCGGATAATCTGAACTGCCGTTTGGTGCATAAGCACAAATGACAGTCAGAACTCGTCTTTCCACACGTAGGCGGAGGGAGGCCACCCTCTCATTCACCGGGGTGAACCCCAACACACAGGCACGAAGATGGGAGGTGCAATAAGTATGCCCACTCCTGCTCGGCGCCTCTCACCAGGGGCAACTCTAGAGTGGAAGACTGTCCAACCCCTCTCAAGGAAACTGGTTCCATATCCAGAGCCATGCATAGAGGTGAGTCCGACTATTTCTAGCCGGAACCACTCAGCCTCACACACCAGCTCAGGCTCCTTCCCCACCAGTGAGGTGACATTCCACGTCCCAATAGCCAGCTTCTGTAGCCGAGGATCAGACCGCCAGGGTCCCCGCCCTCAGCCACCACCCATCCCATATTGCACATGACCCCTTTTGCCCCTCCCACAGTGGTGAGCCCAAGGGAAGGGGGACCCACGCCTCCTCTTCGGGCTGTGCCCGGCCAAGCTCCATGGGTAAAAGCCCGGCCACCAGGCTCTCGTCTGCGTGCCACACCTCCAGGCCTGGCTCCAGAGTGGGGCCCCGGTGACCCACGTCCGGGTGAGGGAACATCAAGTCCATTTCTTTTACTCTTCATAGGGGTGTTTGGGCTACACATTGTCTGGTCCCTCACCTAGGACCTGTCTGCCTTGTGTGACCCTACTAGGGACGTAAAGCCCCTGACAGCATAGCTCCTAGGATCATTGGGACATTCAAACTCCTCCACCACGGTAAGTTGGCAGCCCAGGAAGGGGCACAGACAGTTAAGTTTAACTATTTCTTTCCATTTTTTTCTTCTACACACTACACTACACTGGAGCTCGGAACTGGAGAGAGAAGAAATCCAGCTTCTGCACTGGACCAGAGAGGAGAGAAGCATACTTTCTGCAGACGTCTCTAGACGAGAGAAAGATACAGAACCTGACTGAACCAGAACCATCCCTCTGCAGAGTGGTAAATCCCAGCTAACTTCAGAGCCAGTGGCCGGACCTTCGTCCCTCCAACCGATGATAGGTGAACTTTGAGGAGACAATCAGCCTCTCGGTCACTGGAGCATCTCAGGCCTCGCTGGTATCATTAGCTGCTGGTGGAACCATTCTGACATCCTAGTAGGACAGAGACTTTTCAATGATTTCTTGTGACCCTACATCACAATAATTTTGTCAGACAAACTATCGCTCACCTTAGACAATTTTAACCACTTCACAAACAGGAACCAGTCAAAAATCTGCCTTTTAAGTTTCCTCATCAATTAACCTTTGATTCAAAGCAATTTGTTATCCAGTTAACTTTTGTCATGCATAATCTTCATCATATATAGCACAGATTATTATTTTTATAATAAAACACATAAAAATCAACTGAATTTGTGATTATTTTGGCATATCTGTGTATTAACTGATTTGATGCCCTTTAAACACGAGACAAAAACTCACTTTTCAGTTTACATTAATTTGGGGTTAAATAGAGACTGATTTTTCCTCTCCAAGAGAGGTGGTGCCCACACAACGAGGTTATTTGCATAATACATTCATATCTTATGCGCTTAACTTGTAACTGATAATCAACAATATATATCCAGTCCCATATCCCTCGACATATGATATTGTTCTGCTCAGGGGAACTCCTTCTAACAGGATCTGGGGGCTTCCCCAGTGACTCTGGCCCATCCCTACTGACGGAGGAATGGTAATTTAGCTTTATCCTGATGCATGCTCATTAATCCAGGTAGAAAAAGGCCAGTCCAGAGGACCAGATTGAACTTTTTTGGATAATTTAGCTTTAGTTTTAATAAACAGGCCTTCCTTTGGGACCTGTCCCATTTTGATTGGCATCATATTCTCTTAATTGATTACATGAACACCACTTGGAACTATTTTCAGAATAGTTTATATAGGGAGCATTATATCAGTGAATTCTAAAGGAAAATGGCAAAACATCTGTCCATGAACTGAATCTCAAGAGAAGGTGGGGTCATGCAGCAAGACAATGACCCTAAGCGCACAAGTGATTCTACCAAAAATGGTTCAAGAAGAATAAAGTTCATGTTTTGGAATGGCCAAGTCAAAGTCCTGACATTAATCCAATCCAAATATTGTGGAAGGATCTGAAGTGAGCAGTTAATGTGAGGAAACTACCAACATCCAGAGTTGAAGCTGTTCTGTACGAAGGAATGGGCTAAAATTCCTCCAAGCTGGTGTGCAGGACTGATCAACAGTTACCAAAAACATTTAGCTGCAGTTATTGCTGCACAGGGGGGTCACATCAGGTACTGAAAACAAAGGTTCACATATCCAAAAAAGTTCTATCTGGTCCTCTGGACATTCAAAATGTCCAGAGGACCAGATTTAACTTTTTTGGATTTTTCTTCCTGGATTATTGAGCATGCATCAGAAAGGTTCACATACTTTTCCCACTCACAAATATGTAATATTGGATCATTTTCCTCAATAAGGGTGCATTCACACCAGCCCTGTTTAGTCCGCTTTAATCGAACTCTAGCTCGTTTTCCTAGAAAGTCCAGTTCCTTTAGGGAGGTGTGAACGCGCCATCGAACTCTGTCACGGAACAAAAAGGCGAACTCTGGCCCGGGCTAAAACCTAGGTCTCGGTCCAGTAGAAGAGAACTCCTGTGCGGTTCCAGTACAGTATGAATGTAAACAGACTGGGCCCCGCTCCACAAGCAGGAAGTGGAGTACAGCGCAGGACAAACAAACACGCATTTCTCTTAGCTCATATGGAGCTGTCAGCTGCCTTGTGTGAAAACCAATATTCTCCATGGTCTTTTGCCTCATCTTCTGCTCATGCTGAGTCCATTGTTGAAAAATGACAAAATATAACTCCTAAAACTGCTAAAACTTCTAATTATCTAAGCGAAATATTATTCTGAATAAGAATAAGAAGGCCGCGCTAATTATTTTAGCCGCAGCTTTGTGCACTCCGCCCATCTTCGGTCGACTACGTACATATTCGCGTTGCATCTCGGTGCAATGCCAATAAAGTTTATTCTGATTCTGATTCTGAACTTGATGCAACTCCATTTTTGTTTTTATTTCCAGAAGAAGAAGAAGTGTCTTCAGAGGTTTTTGTGTTGTTTCTTTCAGTAGTTCTTGGTGCAGCGCCCCCACAGGCGAGCGGGGGAATAGGTTGGTTCAACAGGTTGGCTCGACTGCACAGTGCAGTGTGAATGCAAACGCACCAGCTCAAATGTAAACAAAATGTCATGAATATTGGTCCCCAACCGAACAGAGTCTACTGGACTATAAGGTGTGAAAACAACCTAAATAAATGACAAAGTATAATATTTTTGTCTCATTTGTTTAACTGGGTTCTCTTTATCTACTTTTAGGACTTGTGTGAAAATCTGATGATGGTTTAGTTCATATTTATGCAGAAATATAGAAAAATGCTTAAGGTTCACAAACTTTCAAGCACCACTCAATGTTTGCCAAATCTGGTCCACTAACTTAGAGCAGCGTTCCCCCAACAGTAAAACGAATTCTATCCTGTTCGCTTATATTGTTTTGATGTTAGAACTAAATATGTTTATAGCTGGTTTGCAGTCGTGTTCCCCTTCTACCATCGGCTTGACCCCCTAATTATACACTGTAAAATATGTCAAAAGTTTTACAAGTTTACACTGCAACGCCAAAGTATTATTTTTGGTCAGTCGCACTTTTAATTCAGAAGGTTTTGCACGAACAATTTAATGAAAACAATATCTGAGTTTTAAATTAGAAAATTTGACTCACACATTCTTTTTTGTTTTAGCTCCTGCATGTGTCCCACAATTCTGTACTCCGACATCTGAGAACAACAAATCCCGATCTCTTCGAGGAATCTTGATTAATACATTCCTCCCTGTTTTAATGAACAGGAAAGCTTCTTTGTTTATAGCAATATTTAATAGGTATTTTTAAAGTAATTGTGCATAAAAATAAAAATTTTTATGTTAGCTTCAGTTAATGAAGAATAAAATATTGGATATTTTCATTTTAAAGACATGGTTTCTCTAAAGACTCAAGCTTTCAGATATCAGATTGGTTGTGTTTTGTGTTTATTTCAACTATTTACTGTTCATATGCAGCAATCTTATGCTAAACATTACAATACTGTCTCAGAATATTATGTGTAATTCAAAACAACAAAATAGGCTCTTTTGGTCTTTTTCTAATGCTTTTGCCCATCCTGTGCTTCCCTCCCTACAGGCCCCTATAATAACTATGGAGGGTGGTAGACTGAAGCGCTCTGTGCAGTTGAAGTCTGGAAGAGACTTTGAGAAAGTACCAGAACCCGTGTGGCGTGCACTCTACCATTGGTATGGTGCCAACCTTAGCCTGCCACGACCGGTGAGATAACCCATAACATTTTTAGATAGATAGATAGGTAGATAGGTAGATGGGTAGATAGGTAGGTAGATGGATAGGTAGGTAGGTGTGTGTGTGTATGTTTTGGACATTTTGCACTTCTTCCACAATTGAATACACTACAACCAATAAAATCATGTGAACCCCATAATAAAATACAAAAATATAAAAGACCTATTATTAAAAACACATAATTCAATAAAAACACATATTCAACATTCCCACATACATTCCAGCAAGTAAACGACACAAAAATGAGACCAGAGCATCGGCACATAAAAAAAAAAAACTATGTGCCTACTTTGTTTAACAATTTGATTGATGTAGGGGCAAACGAATTTTAAACTCTTTTAAGTCTACAAGCTAACCCTAAACCGAACAGAAAACCTTGGCTGAATGCAGAGGTGCACACCCTGCTGGAAGTCAGGAACACTGCCTTCAGGTCTGGAAACTCAGAGGAGCTGAGAAGGACAAGGAAAGAGCTGATTGCTGGTATTAAGAAGGCCAAGGCCACATATGCACAGAGGATTGAGGGTCAATTCACCTCACAAGACCCTCAGAGCATGTGGAGGGTCATTAAGTGCATAACAGATTATAAAGGCAGGAGTGAACAATGCCCCAAAGACCCATCTCTGCCTGATGCCCTCAATAAGTTCTATGCACAATTTGAAGACCAAAACAGACCACTTAGCACCAGACTCAACTCGCCACCGGATGAAGAACTTCTCTGCGTGACCTCAGCAGATGTAAGGAGTACTTTCAGGAGGATTAATTCTCACAAGGCTACCGGTCCAGACAACATCCCTGGGAAGGAGTTGAAAGAATGTGCCGATCAGCTCTGCGAGGTGATGGCAGACATCTTAAACACCTCACTTACCCTGGAGACAGTTCCCACCTGCCTGAAGACTGCCACCATCATCCCAGTCCCAAAGAGCTCTACAGTGACTGGTCTGAATGACTACTGGCCAGTGGCCCTCACCCTGATAGTCGCTAAATGCTTCGAAAAACTGGTCATGACTCGCATCAAAACAACCATCAACATCAACGAGGATCCTCATCAGTATGCATACCGTGAGAACCGATTTACAGAGGACGCCATCTCCTCTGTGGTCCACACTGCTCTCACCCACCTGGAGCAGAACGCCTCCTACGTCCGTATGCTCTTTGTGGACTTCATATCCGCCTTCAACACCATGATCCCCCAAACCCTGATGAACAAACTATTCACACTAAGACTGAGCCCCTCCATTTGCAACTGGGTACTAGACTTCTTAATAAACAGACCACAGTTGGTGAGGATCCACAACTTCTCTTCCGATACTGCGGGAGTTTCAGAGAAACTGAGCCGTTTATTTTCTAAACACAACATCCCAGTGGCTTTTAAACCCCAAAATACATTACGGCAAAGACTGGTTCATCCCAAAGATCCAGTCCCCCGGCACAAACAGAGTAATATTGTGTATGCTGTTCAGTGTCAGGAGGGTGATCAGTCTTACATCGGGGAAACTAAACTGCCTCTGCCCAAAAGGATGGCCCAGCACAGAAGATCAACATCATCATGCCAGGACTGTGAGGTCTACACTCATCTCCAGGTCATAGGTCACTCTTTCAGGGATGAAGATGTTCACATCCTGGACAGAGAGGAACGATGGTTTGAGAGAGGAGTAAAGGAGGCCATCTTTGTGAAAAGAAATTGTCCATCATTAAACAGGGGTGGAGCCTACATGTTCAACTGTCCCCCTCTTACAATGCTGTGATTGCTAGTATCACTCAACCCACTGTGAATAGTAAACAGCCATCAGGGTGTTAATGATCTATCGTTAGGCTGATGGTCCTCCTTGATCATATGAGCAGCTGGTTTTGGCTGTCAGCAGCAAACTGGTTGATCCATTGTGAGAGGGTTCTATTTATAAGACGGAGCTGAATACAGCACCTCAGACTGAAGTCTTTTGGATGAAAGACAAAATGTTTGTCCTTTTTTTGCTTTTTTTTGTTATTTGAATGTCCAGAGGACCTGACTTAACTTTTTTAGATTATGCGGTCTAGGTGGGGCCCACACAGTTGGTGGGCGTGGACTTGAGTTTTCAGTGTTGGCATGCTGCGTGCAGGGTTACACCCACTAGGGCATGGCTTAAAGGGCAAGCCCACAATGAAATAGAATACAAAGAAATTACAAATACAAAAGAAGTAGAAATGCAAACAGATAGAGCAGAGTACCATACCTTACCAGCTTTTTTTATAGAGCACTTTAAACACGCACAGGACCAAAGTGCTGTACACACAACAAAGTAATCATACAGTCAGATAATAAAAATGATTACAATGATTAAAAGTCACTTAATAAAAGTTGTGTAAAAAACAATCATACAATCAAATAATACTCAAGTGCTCAATGGGATTTACCTGTCTAAATAAAGGTTGAATGAAAAATACAATCAATTAAAAATGATTAAAAGTCAACATCTCATATGTTGTCAAAGGCCACGGAGAAGAGATGGGTTTTAAGAAGGGATTTAAAAACAGACAGGGAAGAGGCCTGTCTGATGTCCAAGGGAAGGTTGTTCCACAGTTTAGGAGCTGCCACAGCAAAAGCACGGTCTCCTTTGAGCTTACGCTTTGTTTTTGGCACACTCAGGAGCAGCTGAACACATTACCTGAGGGATTGGGAAGGTGTGTATGGATGCAGCAACTCGGACAGATAGGGTGGGGCAAGTCCATTAAGAGCTTTAAAAGCAAATAAAATAATTTTAAAATGAATCCTGGAATGTACGGGCAGCCAGTGCAGGGAGGCTAAAACAGGAGAAATGTGGTCAAACTTTTGTGTGCCAGTTAAAAGCCGTGCAGCAGCGTTCTGTACCCTCTGAAACTGACGGATACATGAATCACTGATTCCTGTATAGTGTGTGTTACATTAGTCCAGCAGAGTGGTCACATTGGCGTGAACTACTATTTCAAAATGCTGCTTAGAAAGAATCGGCTTCAGTAGCTACCTCAGATGGAACAAACTAGTTTTAACAACAGCCCTGATGTGATTTTCTAATTTTAGTCCAGCATTGACTTTGACCCTCAAGTTTGTAAGAATTGGCCTGATATACTGGGCCAATGAACCAACATTGACATTGGGAGTCTCAGTGGAGCTTCCAATGCCCATCAGTCTTTCCCTCATTAAACTTTAAGAAGTTTACAGCCATCCAGGCTTTGACGTCCTCCAGACATGAAAACAGAGGAGCCAGAGAGTTGGTCCTTTTTCTTTAGGGGGACATATATCTGCGTATCATCCGCATAACAATGAAAGGAGATCCCATATTTTCTAAAAATAAAGCCAAGAGGGAGCAGGTATAGCGTGAAGAGGAAGGGGCCTAAGACTGAGCCCTGTGGAACCCCACACAAGAGAGGAGCAGAGGAGGACACATGGTCACCAAGGCAGACACAGAAAGTACACTCTGCTAAGTAGGACCTAAACCAGTCCAGTGCTGCACCACTGACACCACCACCCCCAATAGCTTCAAACGACAGAGTACGATGGTATGGTCCACTGTGTCAAAAGCAGCTGGATAAGTCTAAAATCAGGAGGACAACACAGTCACCAGAGTCCGTTGCTAAAAATATGTAACTGAAAACCTTTAAAAGAGCAGATTCTGTACTGTATAAAGATTTAAAACCAGACTGTAAAACCTTGATAATGTTCTGTTCTTTCAAATATGCTGATGGTCGTACACCACCTTCTCGAGAATTTTTAAAAGAAATGGCAGTTTGGAGATTGACCTGTAGTTATAAAGAACAGAGGGGTCTAGAGTGGGTTTCTTAATGAGGTTGGACAGCTGCATGTTTAAAATTTCCAGGGACCACTCCAGAGGACAGACTGCTGTTCAGAAGAGCAAGGACCAAAGGGACCACAGTGAAGAAGACCTCTTTGAATAAACGAGGAGGAATGGCATCACTTGGTGAACCTGTTGGCCTTAAGTGACTGACCACCTCCTGCAGAGGCGACTGAGTCACAGGTTCAAAGCTGTCAAAAACAGCCAAGCAGGGCACAAAGACTGAGCAGAAGGTGAGATCTGGGCTCTGGTGGCATTGACTTTCTCAACAAAGAAATTTAGAAAGTTTTCTCATGCAGCAGGTGAGGATTCAATACAGTTAGTTTGTGGTGCATTAAGAACAGAACCAGTGACGGCTGGTATCAATGGACTAGGAAGGCTAAGCCCTCCCTGCCTGGCATTTACAATAAAGATGTTAAAATAAACAATTTAAAAATACATTTTAGAAATAATGCATCACATTTTGTTAAATTTACAACAAAACTGGTGTCCAACTGCTTGGGAAAATCCCAGGGTTGTTCCAAAGGGCAAAATTCTGACAGCCCTTTTTTGTTACTGTTCCTTCATGGTTCAGAATGATTGACAGACGTGTTGCCACATCCCCTCGGTTTGCGGCTCATTGGGGCTAATTTTGTTCAGCCCAGGGTCCGCCCACAGCCACAGGATTCATCCAATGAGGATGGACGTACAATAACATGCCTCAGTGCGAGTGTATGTGGGCGTGGTTTGGTGTAGACAGCTGTGTGACGTGCTGAACTGGCCGGAAATTAATTCCGCTCGGTCCAAATAATATCAACCTGTCAGTTCGTTTTTATTTTTCTTATTGTTTACTCTGTATTGTGTGTAATGATGACCAGAAGACAAGCATTGAACTGAATGCTGTTTAATCTGCATAAAAACAAAACGTGCACTGGTCAGAATCTGGGCTCATGGCAGCGGCACCTCGTGCCGTCTTCTCAAACAAAACTGAATCGTCTCACTGATTTGACTTCATGTAGGAAAATAAAGATTCTCTGAAATAAATCAATTTCACCTATTTCATACGAGGAAAAGAAAGCTCTCCTGGGCAGACTCTGGAGCTCCACCTGCTGCGTCTCTCCACCCGATTCACCTGCACCCCCTGCTGTCAAACTCATGTCTCTTTTTATAAGTTCAGGAGAAACT